CCTCAGTCAGAAGTACTTATGGTTGTCCAAAAGAGTAACTAACAATAACTGAATTAAGACTATTTTACTTTTTCTAATTTGAGCATTGGGCTTGGATTTTTTTCTAATTTTATGTTTTTCATCTCAAGTATAAATAAAGAAATAAATATGTTGCCTGGAATTCAGTAAGGAATCGGAATAAATGCAAAATAAAATCATACTATAAATTTGTTTTTATAAATATATATATATACTTCTCTGAGTAACTCCCTTATAACCACATTTAAACTTGATGAATTGGTAACAAAATACAGAACACCAATTATTAGCAGACTGACTTATTTAGTTTAACTTTGTTTTCATCAAGACACCTATGCTGCTTTGATGAGTTCAGATAGCTCTCTGTCGTAAGCATCTGATACCAGGCTGTTCTTTACAGCCTGGTATCAGATGCTTATGACAGTTGTGATGTGTGTCACAACTGCAGGTGAACTCAAACGTATAATAAAAACGTACTTTTTGGTTGATAAAAGCTTATTTAATTTTTCAGTTGGGTTCTCACAAAGCAAAACAGATTCCAACCCTATTTGATTTTAAGAAAGAAAATATTTTCATGCACCCCTTGCAATGCATTTGCGGACCACTGATTGGGAAACGCTGGTTTAAATGAATGTGATGTTACCCAAATGTATCCCTCAGTCGAGGTACATTCAAATATAAAAATATGTTTTTATTTTTATTCCTAAAGTGTGTAAAGGTTATTGTTTAAAGTTAAAAGTTTAAATTAACTGTCCTGAATATGCCCCAGACTTCGTACCTGTTTTTTTTTTACCATGAAATGACTGAAATCCTTCAACTGTTAATAAAAAAACATATATGCAATACCCTCTTTTTTATGTGTTCACAAAACCAAATTGAGTTACCTATTAAATAGTCTAGGTAATTTTATACTGTAAAACTAATTAGAAACTAACACCAGAACTATAATATGAAGTACAACCTCTCAATCGCTAAGGTTTTTCATAATGGTTATATGTTTTATGAAATAATTACCAAAAATATTGGGTTTGTCAAAGATTTGCCTGCTATTTCAATGACCTGTCAGAAACCCTCCCCCAAACTAAAGGGCGACTTAGCAACCTGAATTTCTTGCTCCTCTGCTGCCAAAACTCTCCTATGTCCATGTCGCTATCATCAGAAGATATTAAAGTACAGTGAGTTCAAGAAGTATTAGATTCCTTGCTGATTTTCTTCGTTTGCCCACTAATAAAGATGTGATCATTCTGCACGTTTAATGGTAGATGTATTCTAACTTGGAGAGATAGAATATCAAAAAGAAAATCCAGAATATGTCTTTAAAGAATATATATTAATTAATTTGTATTTCATTGAGGGAAATAAGTATTTGATCCCTCTAGCCAAACACAGTCAATACTTAGTGGCAAAGCCTTTGTTAGCAAGTACAGCAGTGAGACGTTTGTTGTAGTTAACCACAAGTTNTTGGGTTCCCTTTCAGAACCTAAGCTTATTTTGATTCCATTGTATTCTAGAATACCATGAATTTGGACAAACTTTTCAGGATTCTTCAAATGAGTGTGTATGTGTAAGGCTACTGTAAATGACTTGTAGCTGTAGTTGCGTGCGAGTGTTGGTGAATATTAAGGCAGGAAGAGGGGTGACACCGTTTTGACCTGATACCATTGTGCCAGGCGTTCTCCACATCCGGAAGGGCCTCGTCCTATCTCATTAAAACCTGATTGTCTGCCAGCCCTTCACTTAATTTTCCCCCGGATACCGTGTATTCCCCAACTCCCGTGTCCTCTAGTCACCTCTGCTCTGGCACCCCAGGGCTATTGTTGGGACTGGGACATGTGTGTCCTGGGGGAACTCATGATAAGTTTAGCTGGAAGAATCTGCACATGGTTTAACTCAGAAAATTAGAATAACAATGAAGAACCAGAAAACAGAAATTCAGGAATGCATTCTACTGAGCTGGACTTCCAACACTACGTACTAAAAGGCTTTGTTAATTATCTTCACTTTTGAATGTGGCTTGCAGGGATTCTGACGCTCGGAGAGTTCCGCCGTGTCTATGATGGGTCCCAGCACCCACGACAACCGCGCAGTGGGAACCTGCATAGACACTTTAAGCAAAGAAACAGGCAAACATGGCTTTTTCAGGGACCAGGATCTCACCACGTTGTGCAGTCACTCAGGAAAAGGTCACTACCTATTTGTCTCGCTCTTTTTCCCACAAAAACAGCTGTTATTAAAATGCAAAATTATTCTCTTGTTTTCCCTCCTCGTGCTCTCAGGGTAATCTCTCTGACACGTCTGCCCTCTGCACTGGTTGAGCTAAGTGAACCGCTGCAGGTATCTCGCTACGAGCATCAAGACTTCACCGACGCTCACTATGATAGCAGCTCGTCTCACTCAGAGACCACCTGTGCGCACACACGGCTGGCAGGAAACACCTCAGCGCTCACAGAGGTCTCCTGCAGGTATGCAACTTAATAAAAGCAATCTTCTTTTCACATCCTCTTTGCTTGTCAGATTCAAACTCAAGATGTGTGTCATCTATTAGCTAGGTTTGTTCTATATGTTATAAAATCTGAACTATTAAACAATAATGCTCCTTTTGTTGCTTTTTTTCCAGGTATTTGACAGTGTTATTTTACCTCAACTCTGTGGAGAGTGGTGGAGAAAGTGTCTTCCCTGTGGCAGATAATCGTACTTACGATGAGCAGGTAGGGTTGGTTTATGTGCATCTACTAGCATAAACCTGCTTGATCTACTTGATGATAGCTACATAGAATCCTACTGCTTCTTTTAAGCAGTTATATATTGACCCATTACAAGTAAATTGATTCACATAACTACAATTTTCTGTCACATTCACTGTGTTAAACCGTAATATATGCACATAAAAAAGGCAGTAAGGTGTTATCTTTTTATCTTCATGGTTAAGTTAAGGCTGTAAATAGTTTACAAGAACAGGGAATTTTGTTCTTTTCAATTAAAACACAAATCAGCAACATAGATTATTCAAACATATCTTTTGTTTATTTGCTATTTTTATTTTAAAAAGCCTGCAAGTTTGTTGATGTTTTGAAGTTCTGATGATGTGATCCTAATGCTATTAAATTTCATTGTGACATTATTGAAAGAGAAAGTAAATAAACAAAAGATATGTTTGAATAATCTATGTTGCTGATTTGTGTTTTAATTGAAAAGAACAAAATTCCCTGTTCTTGTAAAC